GGGGAGTGGGGAGAGAGGAGAGACATGACACAAAAATGCAGAAGGTATTTATGGCTATGTTAAAAAAAAGGACATTTCATGCCTTCATGGGAAGAAACTACTCTTTTAATACAAAGAAGGATGAAAATATCTATGTATCTGTATCTCGACTGCATTTAAAAGATTATGTAGTCATTCTTTGAACTGTTTGTTTCAAGTTGGGAATCACTATATTAAAATACAATAAAATTGCCCATTTATCCTATGGACCACAAGGAGAAAGGCTGAAACTAATTTATTTTCCCTCAATTCTTTGCTGGTATCTATTATTACAAAAGCTGCAACAGCCAGCAAGCATGCCCATTAAAACCTTTACCTAATAACTTCTTTATTTTGCTTTTTGGATTTCTTGGTAGTCTCTGCTTGTACAGGAACAACTTCAGGGACAGGTTCCTCAACTGCTGTGTCTTCATCACCCAAAAGAGCTGCCTGCTGAGAAAAATCCATGTCCTGCATAAACGACATGCTGCGCTTCAAAGCTAACAGCCGTTCCTAGAATCAGAAAGGACAGAGCGGCAGGGACTTAACCTTTCCCTCATAGCCAAGATGCTATGATAATGGGATGGGATGGGAATGGCCATGGCCTTATTTTGTTCTTAATGCCTCGTTTCCAATGGCGATGCAACATGATTTGGTCATGGTAGCATGGCATCAGAATTTCTGCAGCCCAACTATCAAGAGAGAAACAAAAACAAAAAAAAAAACTGCATATGCAAAGACAACTGCCTATTTTACACAAAACTTACCATAACTGCAATACATGCATGCACACATACACACAGAGCAGCTACCAAAATAAGTTCATTTTACGAGCCAACAACTGCATTTGAGTAAAAAGCATTTGCACATACACATCTGTAAAACTCCCAAAACCTCCCCTACACCCACCACCTTCAAAAAAGGTTTCTGTTTATTCAGAACAAAACATAAATGAGATCTTGTTTTTAAAATTTCAGCCAAAACCAGCATTTAACACTTTCGGTTTATATACACGGATCCTAATTGCTTCCACTGAAGTCAGTGGAAAAACTTCCTCAGACTTCACTGGTGCAGAAAAGTTGAGAAATACGCGTGTGGTTATAGCAAGAATGCTATCAAGCATTTAAATATAGCAGCCCTAACAGGCATTGCTATAATTTATCACAGATAGATGAAATAACATTTATCTTTGTAATTAATCGTTCCTTTTAAGTATGGCAAAAAAACCTGCAAAGAGTTTCTGCTTTTTGTTTTTAAAAGGTTTCTTACTTTGCTCATCATCTTAAAGCCTGTGTGCAGTATCTTCTTGGCTAGTTTGTAGTAAACAGTATCTGGTCTGTTGTAAGTCATTGCATTATCACACATCAGTTTAAAATCTGCCTGTAAAACATAAACCAAAAGAACTGTTAAAATTCTGAACTCCTTTTGTAAAGGAGTGGAAGATACTTTTCCATCATGGCAGCTCTGTGACGAACAAAGCAATATTTTAGCAGAAGGCTCATGGAGTAAACACAACCCAAAGATTTGAGCCCTTTGTGCTTCTTCAAGTTTTGTTTGGAATAGGCTTTCTGGTTTTAAAAAAGAATACTTTACTTTTCCCCAAATGACAAACGTAACATTTCTTCCTTATACAAATGGACAGTGGAGAAATTCATAAAAGGGCTGAGGCACCAAGGTAAGTACTTTTTGGTAGTTTTGCCACCTTCTGAACCAGAATAGACTTGAGAAATACAAAATTATCAGAAAGATTCAAAACATCTTACATAAAATTTTAGTTCTAGTAATCTGACCACCTTTTCAGTCATTTGCGCTAAAACAAAAACAACAAAAAAAGAAAACTTCAAAGCACAGGAACAGCCAAGCCTGATTTTGTCTTCTCCTTTGAATGGTTTTCCATGAGACATAACGTCAAGTAATTTTTACTGATGCAAGTTCCCAAAACAAAAGTACAACACACTCCACTGTGAACAGAACCAAAAAATTTGGGTGCTTTTTTTTCTAGTCATATGCTATTCCTAGGAAATAGCATATAAAATGTTATTAGAAACTCTGTGAAACACTGAATTAAAAACACATTATTATACGTCTCTGAAAATTTCTGAAGTTGTCAAATCAATAACCAAGAATCACACACTGGTCTTTCCAGGCACCTCACAAACTAGATCCTAACAAATTCAACTGATGATTGATTTAAGAATATATTTTTCTCTCTTAATTTTTCAGTATTTAAACAATGATTGTTCAAGCAATCAGGTTTCATTCATTCTGTAAACACAAATCCTAAATTGTTTTGTGCACAGGAGTCCATTATATTTGAAAAAGAATTGATTATGTGCAAAAGCGTGTGCAAACAAAATGGTATGCTTTATGATAAGTTAACCCACTCAGTTTTCAGACCAGTGAATAGATTTGCTGAGACAAAGATATTTTAAGGTTACTGCTGTGGTTGGACATAGATGTATTTCTACAGACTTTTTCTGGCACCCAACATTTACAAAAAATAACCTTGCCCTACTGCAATTCTGACCAGACTCTTCAAAAAACACACCCCAAAATTGGTTTATTTCCGGTTTCCACACAGAGATGTCAGAGCAGTGCTTTCCCAGTCATTTAGTAGTTGCCATCAAGCCCACACTAAGCAAGTAGGTGAACATAGTTTAAATTGGCAGTCTGTGACTTTCTATGGCATTTAAGACATCTGCCTTTGCTTAATGAGATCATCACAAAACCAGAAATTGAGAAGGTGACATGGAGGAGGAGGAAACTATGAACCAAGCAGCAGATAAAGAAGCCCACGTGAGCTATAAATCTAGTGGTGGCCTATGAAATGCTGCAGAAAAAGACAGTCTTTTGCATGCCCAACTTTGAAGCGGACCATTTTTTGGCAATAAAACTGACAAGTTCTCTGCAGCAATTTCCCCTCTTCTAAATACAGCAAATGGTTCTTGTGGATCCTACTCTTAGACAGATTATTTATTGGCTTGTGACTAGGCTCAGCTAGCTACAATACATGCATTATAAATGAAAGATAACCCTTCAAGCAGGCTTCATTTGAGAGGTTAAAACCCCATAAACTTCATTTCTGTATGATACAGAATTGTAAAAGCAAAAGCATAATTAGGTATACATATATCTCTTCGTCACTGTAGGGTAGACAGACTTCTATCAACCATTTCATTGCTCCTCAGAATATCATCAGAAATCACCTCTCTTTTCAGAAGAAATAGAACCTGTCAGTCTAAACAATACTGCGATTTTCAATTTTTTAGGTTGCTATTTTCCCAGTTTCAATATTGCAACCGTCCCTGTAACTAAATAGAGCCACAGAGCTCCCATTCACAATTCCTTTTTAAGATGATGAATAAGACAATCCAGCAAGCCATTAGAATTTAGAGACCTGAGGCTACTGCTAGTGGCAATGCTATTATGAATCCTTCTTTACTATTTCCTATAAATCTCTATACCTTTTTTGAAAAATAAAGCATACATAACAAACAGAATAATCAAAGCACCTATAGGAAATATAAGCCATTCTTTGCTCACCTTGCTGGACCTTTCAAAAGAAGAAATTAACGCTGATAAGCAAGCCAATGCTCTCTGCCAAGTCTATTGCTATATAAACACCACTCTATAAAGCAGTAATACTGAAGGCAGCAAACAGAACTCCATGAATCAGTTAAAAACCCCTCCTTTCCTTCCAGCAGCTTGCAATACCATCAGAGATTTCTTACTGCACTGTCTGTAAAACCACAATGCATCTGATAAAGCTTTACAGCAATAGTAATACACAAAATAGCCACGGCAAGTTGCCAATAGACCTGCCAGGTAAGTTTCTGCCAAAAGACCATTCCAAATGAAGTTATATGGAAAACAGGATAGTTAAAGATAAAAAACATGTAGTTATTACTGAATCTTACACAAAATGCTTTAGTATATCCACAGTTTTCTTGCAGAAATTGACATTAAACACCCTAATCAGGTCTAAATAAAAAACCCAAACCAAATAAACAACAAAACCGAACCAAAACCCTACCCCCCATTCCAAAAACAGTAAACAAACACCAAAACAAAGAGCTCCAGGTTCTTTAATGAATTCTATAGAACCTTAGAGCATGTCCTCGGTTTTCACAGTAATTTGCAGTAGACTGTAGTAGAATCTGACAAATATAGAGCTTCCTCAGTGAAAAACAAAGCAAGAAACCCATTCTAACACACACAATTATTTTTATAAAGTGCTCAGCTCTGTAAAAATTGACATTAAAATAATTGTAAGAAAGGCTGCTACAGCTAAAAAGAATCTTCAGTTTCTTACTAAAGAGCTCTGAAATAACTAAGTCTCTATGAATTTACCTTGAATTCAGTGACTGATTTGTATTCATTTGCTGCAATTTTTTCCTTCATTGTACCAAAATCCATGGGGTGCTTTATTATCATAGAATATCCAGGAGCAATGGCATCCGTGACTGGAAAAGCAAAAAACCCATGAGGATCTTTCCTAAAAATAAAAACAATACATTTAGATTTTGATCAGCAAACAAAATGATCATTGTTTTCATACTGCATTAATGGTATAAAAGGAATAGTACTACTTAAAAACAAAAAAACCCCTAACAAACCACACACTAAAAGCACTCTCATAAAACAGAGTAATATTTGAAAATTTTCCTGATACAGGAAAGAATGTTGGTTACACATATGTAGACTTCTTTTGAAAGAGACTCAGCTAGTTCTTGAATTAATTATTTCTTGCATGCTTTCTGTGCCTCAAATGGGTCTTTTGTCTTCACTGAGTAATAAATTCTTCTTGTTCATGAGGTCCTCTAAAAATAACTACAATGTTTCATATTTTCAAATTAGTTCCAAATTAGCTTACTGCTATGTGATGAAAAAGGAATATTAATTATAATTTTTTTTAAAACATGAGCCACAGGGTTAACATCTTATGGAAAACAATAAAATAAAAAGCCTCTCCAACTTCATGAAGTAAGCAGGTATAAACTTGCTTCGGTATTTGACACAGAATAACAAAAGTTCATAAGAAGAGTTCAATCTTTTAAACTATTAAAATTAATAACTGTTTTTAAATTCCTAAAGTAAGCCATTAATATTTAATAAATTTATAATGGCAACATAGCCTCTGCCCAAAACACTTCTCCACCAAAAGCTAGAATTGCATACATGGTAATAATTTTCCTCAACTAATCTTTAAAACCGCCAGGTTTGATATGGTTGCAAAGATTACCAGACATATTACAGCCAGTCTTTAGGCACTCTTTTCAAACAGAAAACCAGGATAAGAAGTTGTAAGGTAACAGATATAATTATGCATTAGACACCAATGACAAAGCTGAAGATGCACTTAACTACCTTTGAAGCTGGCGAAGGAAGTGTTCTAGTAATTGCTGGATTGGTGTGCTCTCATTTTCAGCTGCAGTTTGAGACAGAAACACAGATAAGTACAATGAAACAGAATATAGGTATATATATTTACTTAAAAATATAAATACCGGGGAGAAAATCTTAACTACAAGTACAGCTTGCACTGATCTGAAAGTCAGCAAGACATGGATTTAAAAGCAGAAGTAAATCAGACTTCTAAACATGTAGTAACTATTTCTTCTCCTTTACTACTGAGTTCAAAACCCAATAAAAATTAGCAGACATTAAATCAGATGCAATGCTGTCTAGCAGTTGTAAGAAAACATATTAAGGTGAAATGAAGGTGTTTTTACAGGAAAAGTGAAATTTGGTTACTCAAATACTGCAGTTGGGAAATTCACATTCTTCCAGCATATTATCCATGCAATTTTAATGGTTTCTTTACCATGATACCCATGCAATTAGCTTCTCTAAATCTTTTCGGTCAAAAAGCAGAGTGACAAATAGATCACTGGCAAGAGAAATACTGATTACCATTTCGCTTCCATACAGATCAAACAGTAAATGCTACAATTTAATTACCTATTCCATGAATGTACTTCAGAGAGACTGGCTTTAATGTGAAGTTTGAAAAAATAAAGCAGCAGCATGCTGAAATCTAGCTCTTCTAGAACTGAAACTCCAGCTCTTCTCATGCTAATGAAGAGATACGTGCCTTTTTAACCAGAACAGGTAAGGTCATTTATATGATTTGGAATGGCATTTTCCAAGCAGGTGAAAATAGAAGCCTAATGAATATAGAGATCAGTTTTTAGCTTGTCAGGCTCCAGGCTACTAGGAGACATAAAAGTTTGACCAGAAAATTTCAGTTACCCTTATTAGGTCATCTTGACAGCTGATGGACATCATTCCTCAATTTAATGTGCAGACATAAATAGAAATTTCTTCATTAAATTACCTACCAGTCAATGGGCAATGTTCCAAAGACAAGACACACAACACTCCTAAAGACACAAAATTTTGCTACCAAGTTCCTTTTCCAGGAAAAGGGGAAAAAGGAAGACCCAGGGAACTACAAGCAGGTCAATCTCACTTTGGTGCCTGGTGAGATCATGAAGCAGATATTCCTGGAAACTATGCTAAGGCACATGGACAGCAAGAGGGTGATTGGTGACAGTCAACACAGCTTCACAAATGGCAAATTGTGCCTGACAAATCTGGTAGCCTTCTGTGATGGGTCATGGTGTTGGTGACTGATGTCATCTAACTGGATTTGTGCAGAGTATTTGACACTGTCCCACATGACATCCTTGTCTCTAAATTGGAGAGGCATGGATTTGACGGACGTATCACTCAGTGGATAAGGATCTGGCCAGATGGTCTGACTCAAAGAGTTGTGGTCAATAGCTGAATGTCTGAGTGGAGATCGGTGAAGGGTGGTGTACCTCAGGGGTCAGTATTGTGACCAGTGCTGTTTTACTATCTTTATTGGCAACATAAACAGTGGGATTGAGCACACCCTCAGCTAGTCTGACACCACCACCAAGCTGTGTGGTGTAGCAGACATGCTGGAGGGAAAGGATGTCATCCAGAGGGACCTGGACAGGCTAAGAAGGTGGGCCCCCTGCAAACCTCACCAAGTTCAAGAAGGCCAAGTGCAAGATCTTGCACATAAGTCAAGGCAATTCCAAGCACAGGCTCAGTGGAGACTGGATTGAGAGCAGCCCTAAGGAGAGGGACTTGGGGGGTTCACTGATGACAGCCTCACCACGGCCCAGCAGCGAGTGCTTGCAGCCCAAAAACCAACTGTGTCCTCGGCTGCATCACCAGCAATGTGACCAGCAGGTCAAGGTAGGGGATTCTGCCCTTCTACTCCACTCTGGCGAGACCTCCCTGCTGCAGTCCTGCATCCAGCTCTGGGGCCTCCAATATAAGAAGGATATGGACTTGCTCAAGCAAATCCAGCACCTCTCCTACGGAGACAGGCTGAGTTGGGCTTGTTCAGCCTAGATAAGAGAAGGCTCTGGGGAGACCTTAGAGCAGAATCCAGTGCCTAAATGGGGCCGACAAGAAATCTGGAGAGGGTCTTTTGGCAAGGACAGGTAAAGACAGGACAAGGAGAATGGCTTTAAGCTGACAGAGGACAGATTTAGCTTAGATAGATACAGGAAAAAATTATTCACTGTAAGGGTGGTAAGACACAAGGAGAATCTGTGGTTCAAGGAAGTGTTCAAGGCCAGGTTGGACAGGGTTTTGAGCAACCCTGTGGAGGTTGTTGTGGAGACCAGTAAAGAGCGGTGTCCCTCAGG